TGCTCTCTGTCTTTGTCTCTGTCTCTGTGTGTCTCTTTGGGTCTAGGGTTTAGGGTTTACGCCGTCCTCGGGTTTAATGATTAGGGTTTATATACTTCGTAGGGTTTAGTGTTTTAAGGTTTAGGCCTCAGACTTTAGGGTTTAGGTTTTATTGCTGAGGATATATTTAGACCGCAGGATTTAGGATTTAGGGTTTAGGGTTTAGAGTTTAGGGTTTAAGATTTAGGATTTAGGGTTTGTGGTTTAAGGTTTAGGGTTTAGAGTTAATGGTTTAAGCTTTAGGGTTTAGGGTTTAAGATTTAGGATTTAGGATTTAGGGTTTAGGGTTATAGATTTAGGGTTTGTGGTTTAGGGTTTAGGGTTTAGGGTTTGTGGTTATTGGTTAGGGTTTAGAGTGCATAGAGTACGTGAATTTATTTGCTTCTTTCTGAGGAAGTCTAGGAGTATAAGCCCCTGGTCCGGGTGTCTGTTCAAACTTTTGTTTAATGTCTCTGCCTGTCATTGTATACATCGGAGAGGCATTTTTTACTTTCTCTGGGCTGTATGCACCGGGTCCGGGGGCCCCACATGTTTGATTAGTAAAGGTTGTACGACTTGCTGAGCCCCAGCTGAACAAATAAATAAAGTAAGTTATTAATAATATTAATAATATTTATTAATAATATTAATAATGATGATAATTATATTTATTTATTGTATCTATAAAGAAAGAAACAAAGAAAGGAATTAAAAGAATGTAAGAAAGAAAGGTAGACAAGAAAGATAGACAAAATAGTAATGCATGCATGCATGCATGCATGCATGCATGCATGCATTAGCAGCAACACCACAAACAGCAGCAGCAGCGGATCTAGCAGGTGAAGCACTAGGAACAGCAGGAGCACCAGCATCAGCAGCAACACAAGCAGCAGCAGCAGCACAAGCAGCAGCAGCAGTAACAGCACCACCACAAGCAGCAGCACCACCACAAGCAGCAGCAACAGCAACAGCACCAACAGAAGCAACAGCAACAGCACCAACAGAAGCAACAGCAGCAACAGCAACAGCACCAACAGAAGCAACAGCAGCAGCAGCAACAGCACCAACAGAAGCAACAGCAGCAGCAGCAGCAGCAACAGCAGCAGCAGCAACAGCAGCAGCAGCAGCAGGATGACCTCCACTTGGGGGTTTTGTCTCCGAAGTTTTCTGTTGGATTGTAAGCCCCGGGGCCCGGCGAATTATTAGCAGCAAACTTTGTTCTCAGTGCAGTGCCTAGCCCGTAGGCAGGGGCTGTGCTTCTGGGGATAACATTGCTGTAGCTGCCTGGGCCAGGAGTGCTGCTGCTGCTGCTGCTGCTGCTGCTGCTACTGCTGTTGCTGCTGCTGCCAGCTGCAGCAGCACCGCCGCTACGAGCACCCATTGTCCAGCTTGCTGCTTGAGGCTTATTCGCTAGCTGCGGATTGTAAGCCCCAGGCCCAGGAGAAAGAGACTGCTGAAGAGACACCCCACCCCGCGCTCCTGACCCGAAGCTGCAGCAGCAGCAGCAGCAGCAGCAGTAGCAGCAGCAGCAGTAGCAGCAGTCTTAGGAGGGGGAAATGAAGAGACAGCAGCAAACGCTAAACTAAACGAAATATTATGGAGAAAGAGAGGCAGCAACAAAAAGAGACAATTAACAAAAAGATAGCAGCAAAAGGAGACAGTAAGATAACAGAGAGATAGCAGCAGCAGCAGCAGCAACAGCAGTAGCAGCAGCAACAGCAGTAGCAGCAGCAACAGCAGTAGGAAAAGAGCAACATTAGCAGCAGCAACAACACCAGCAGCAACAGAAAGAGCAGCAGCAAAATGAGGCAAGAGGAGAAGCAGCGGGAGTCCAAGCAGCAGCAGCAACAACAGCAGCAACAACGCCAGTATGAGCAGCAGCAGCAACAACAACAGCAGCAGCACCACCACCACAACCACCGCACAGAGCAGCAGCAACAGCAACAGCAGCAGCAGCAGCACCAGCGTAAACAGCAACGGTAGCAGCATTACAAGCAGCAGCAGCAGCATTAGCGGCAGCAGCAATAGGAGGAGCAGCAGCAACAACCTAAAGAACAGCAACACCACCATAAACAGCAGCAGCAACAACAGCAGCAACAACAGCAGCAACAACAGAGGCGGCAGCAACAGCAGCAGCCCCAAAAGCAGCAGCAGCAGCAGCAGCAGTAGCAGCAGGAGCAGCATTAGGAGCAGCATCTTAAACAGCAGCAGCAGCAACAACAGCATAGCAAGCATCATCATCATCAGCAACAGCAGCAGCAAGAGCAGCAGCAGCAGCAGCACCTTCTCCATTATTAGGACCAGCAGCAGCAGCAGCAGCAGCATTCTCATTAGCAGCAGCAACAGCAGCAGCAGCAGCAGCATCATACTTAGCAGCAGAACAAGAGCAGCAGCAACAGCAGTGCCATTATCAGCAATAAGAACCAGCAGCAGCAGCAGCAGCAACAGAAGCGGCAACAGCAGCAGCGCCATCCCCAGCAGCAGCAGCAGCAACCGGAGGAGGAGCAGCAGCAGCAACAGGAGGCTTAGCAGCAGCAGCAACAGCAGCACCATTATCATGAGCCCATCATCCTCAGCATCATCATTAGCATCATCAGCAGCAGCACCAACAGCAACAGCAGAATCATCATCAGCACCATCAGCAGCAGCAGCAGCACCAACAGCAACAGCAGAATCATCATCAGCACCATCAGCAGCAGCAGCACCAACAGCAACAGCAGAATCATCATCAGCACCATCAGCAGCAGCAGCAGCAACGGGAGCAGCAGCAGCAGCAGCACCAACAACAGCAGCAGAATCACCGTCAGCACCATCAGCAGCAGCAGCAGCAACGGGAGCAGCAGCAGCAGCAGCAGCAGCAGCAGCAGCAAAGGAGTACCCATATTGTGGGGCGGCATGTCTATTGAATTCGAAGTGCGGCTCATATGCTCCGGGCCCTGGGGTGTCTGCGGAGACACCTGAGAGGGGACGGCTCTGTTTGCATGCGAAGCTCCACTTAGGCGAGTTGGAGACAGTTGAGAGACAGCCTAAGTTATGCTCTGCTACCGGCATAGAGCTCATCCTGTATACTTTACTTCCTATTTTCAAGCTTCCTGCTGCTGCTGCTGCTGCTGCTGCTGCTGCTGCTGCTGATGCTGATGCTGGTGATGCTGCTGTTGTTGTTGTTGCTGGTACTGCTGCTGTTTTGTTGCTGCTGCTGTTGTTTTGTTGCTGCAGTTGTTTTTGTTGCTGCAGTTGTTTTTGTTGCTGCAGCTGTTCTTTTTGCTGCTGCTTCGGTTGTTGCTGCAGCTGTTTTTATTGCTGCTGCTGTTCTTGTTATTGCAGCTGTTTTTATTGCTGCTGCTTCGATTGTTGCTGCAGCTATTTTTATTGCTGCTGCAGCTGGTTTGATTGCTGCTGCTGTTTTTATTGCTGTCTATGCCGCTGACTTTATTTGTTTTTTTGTTTTTGTTTATTTTTTTGCTGTCTTTGTTTTATCGCTCGTCCGCTATAAACTACCTCCCTCTGTTTACTTATATATATATATATGCATATATATATTTAGATATCTATATCTATATATATATATATATATTTACATTAATTTATATTTATTGATTGTGCTGTCTGGCAGCACCAATTGTTGAGGGGATGACTAAGGCTGCATCTCTACACTTTAAGGGACACTCAAAGACAGCTATTAATAGAAGGTGTAGAGAGCAGCAGCAAAGCTGCATGCATGCATGCATGCATGCTGCTGCTGTTGCTGTTGCTGCTGCTGCTGCTGCTGCTAGTGCTAGAGTTCCTACTCTTCTTTCTCTTGCCTAAGGCATAGCCGTTGCTGCAGATAAATGCAGCATTTCATATATTTAGGGAGATATAAAGAAGAAGATTAAAACAAAAATTAAAAAAATGAAGATGTTGAGGTGTACATACACCTGAAAGGGCTTTCTTTCTACACTCCTTCTTCTCTCTCTACGCGGAATACGCTCTCTAAATCTTTATTAATATCTTTTTTATACAAGACAAGCAAACACAGGTACGCAGCAGCAGCAGCAGCAGCAGCAGCAGCAGCAGCAGAAGACAGCAGCACAAGCAGCAGCCTCTGCTGCTGCGGTGCAGCAGCAGCAGCAAGGGGCCCCAGCAGCGCAGCAGAGAGGTAAAAGAACGAGAGAAAAGACATAAATCAAAATAAATATATTATTTAATTAATTATTTAATTATTTTAATTGACTTTTCATAATTAATAAATAATAAATTGCGTTTTTAAATGCACAATACCTGCAGCACCCTCCGCGTTCTTTCTAAGGAAACACCTCAATAAACAAAATATTTAAGGTGTGGAGATAAATATAAAATAAAGTAAATAAATTATATTTATTTTATTATTTTTAATGTTAAATTAATTTAATAAATCCTATCTACTTCATTTGAATAATAATGCATTTATAAGGGCAACTAAGAAGGGGTAAGACCTAAGCAAAGCCATCACTAAGGTGGAGATACACCCCAAAAGAGCTATATAATATATATATATATATATATAGATATATATATATATATATCTATATGCATATATATATATAGACGCAAAATGTATATATATATGAATATATACATTTCTCTATACATTCATAATATACATATATATATAAATCTGTATATATTTGTATACATATATATATATATATATATA